TCAAATTGTCGTATATCCTTTTTTCCCTTTCTATTTTATACATCCATATATCATTTTCGCCATTCATTATTTTACGTTGAACGTGTGATCGATTGTATAACCGCAGCTTTTGTCAAGGATTCACGTAAATCCGAATGTTCTCCCGCGTTATCCGGCTTTCAGCTTAACTGCTCTTAAACACGTGTGTTTGAGGAACGGATCCTCTCCGATAGATAATCGAGGGTGGCACTAACGGTGGGAAGTTCGGAAGCTGACTAAACAAGTAAACGCGCTGTAAGCGGGTGCGTGAGACGAATTTGACGTGTGCCTGAGAGTTAATTTGAAATTCGCCACGCGTAATGTAACGGGGAACCAAGGGACTCGATCAATATTCCGCGGGGAGATTGGTTATACATCCCTCTCGCAGACTAGACACGTTTTCTCCCTATATCAAAATTTCATCGATTGTCGCGTTAGCCATTCATTATGACGTTTGTTACCAGACGTCTATTGGAAAATCTATCATTTCGTGATGGAGTCTAGATAATACACTTATCTCTCTATTGTCGCTTCCGAAATTATATTCCCACGTCTCTAAAATATCAATCTTCCCAAGATCCCCGATAGTAGTCTCCCTTCGTGAATATTTAAACGTGAATATTATCAAGCTATTTTTGCAAATGTGAGATCGTGAATATTATCAAGCTATTTTTACAATTGTATGATATATTGTTTCTGATAATAAATACAATTTATTATCGGATAATTTCTTTCAGTGTACGGTTAACAGAGTCATGGCAGACATTAATAGATAGAAAAATGTTGCCTCTATCATGTTTATACAGTTGGACAAAAATTAGTTGTCTGAGAAGTTGTAACTTCGAAATTAAAATACAGGGCGTCTAGCCCCGGTTTCCCCTAATGCTTTTAAGTATTCAATCTTTGTTTCTGTCTCAAATGCATTAAATCATTCTAATTAAATTGCATTAAATCATCCTAATCCCACCACCTGGCGCCCCTAAGATTTCACATAATTTTCATTTTATCCCCCGACGCGTATCATTTCGTACCTAAATCTTCCGATCTCGGATTTAAAGCGCTCCCCGTTTGAGAACGCGGCTCTGCGGTTGCGAAATGAGATTCGGTCGATCAAAATGCAAATCGTCGTGCGTGAAGGGCTCGCGCGAGCAGTGGCGCGATTATACAAGGCGGACCGTTAAACAAAGAGGCTAATTGAGACCCACCCTGGCGCAAAGGCGCGATTGCAATTTCACGGGCGGAACGCTTTTGACGTCATCTCGTTGGATGCTCGTATCAAGTGCATACGAATGTCCCCGCCTTTGTCGTTGTCCGACATAGAGCGACGAGGTGCACCTTGGTCAGCGAATTCATCAATTTTTCTCCCTTTTTTCACAACTTTATATACGCCATATCAAAAGCGAACTGATGTCAACCAAATGTCTGATTTGAAAAAGAGGAAATAATAAGAAACATAGTTTGTTTACTTTTCTTTTGTATGGACCTCAAAGGATAATAAAATAGAATGGAATTATACTTATATACATACAAAAGATCATCGCTCAAAATATTATAAAAAATATCTTTTGGATTATTTATTTCTGTTATTTATTCACAACGAAAATTTTATAGTAAAAATTAAGACTCTATAGAATTTTGTAACCGAGGAACAGATCTACATAAGTATTTATTATCCTTTCATTTCATTTGTGCTACTTATTTTAGGAGCTGAAATATACTATTAAAACACTTGCTATGTGTTTCTAGCGAGATTTACTATGTTCCTTAGCGAGACATATTTTATTGATATTATATTCCTGAACTACTGAAAATATAGTAAAATTGAAAAGAATTTATTAATGAAAAAAATTACTATTCCCTCCGTGTCATTATCTAAAAATGTTCAAATATTTTTATATATAGAATCAAATGATTGATAATATAAAAAAGTATGTTTAATATTTAATAAGATTTAACAATACAATTTGTCGTAAAACGCATTTTAAATGATAAATCAGTACGAGAAAATATTTTAGATACAGTTTACATATAATTTTACGGTGTACAATCGCGACTGGTTCCCGCACTACCGTGTCATCTGTTCTCTCCTCTGAGAAAAGACGTCTGCCCCTTCGTTCGGGATAAACCATTTCGCATTAGCACTCAAGCACGAGGATGCATGACGGTAAATCACGGCTCGCCTATTCATGCGAATAAATACATTAATAAACAACGCCTGCCCATAAGGTAGACGATTAAAATTGCCGGCACATGAGCCGCGGTTAATTTATATGCGAACGTAGGGCAAGCGCGCGTCCGTTTGGGACCCTATGAGTTCCCCGCGGGAGAGCGCGCGCGCGTCTCCCCTAACGAGTCCTTTATGCAACGCCGACTTACCCCTTTCCCATAAATTTCGGGTGGCCAAATATTGGTACTGATGAGCGGTCGTGTTCGTCTGTTATTATGACGGGCACACCCTGTGGGACGTGGCTGCGTGACAGAATGAGAATTATCGACAGATCTCGCAGAGGCACATTGCGATATTTGATTTATTACATTTGCATATTATTCCCAGAAAACAATACTGTTACTCTGCGACGAGTGCCAGATTAACGTTTCAGACAATGAATTTTAGCACAAGATTTATCCGATAATGCACTGACAAGTGTATTATCGGATAATATGTTACATATTTTCATCCGCGACCTCTAGATTGATATAATTGATGCCAAAATCGTAATCATGGGTCTAAAAAACTTCTTCGAAACTGACTTTGAATAAAGTCTTTGAAATGTCTGCGATTTCGGTCCTATTTTGAATCTCGCAAAACTAATGTTAAAATCATAATTAGCGACTTCAGAAACATCAGACAATAAAATTATAATAATGTCGTAAAAGCTGTAAAAGAACGACGCTCAGGAGTAGCATTAGTTATCATAGTGCTATAGAGTGTTAAATTTTCGAATGCGTTTTCTAATCTTGTTAGCCAAAATAAAAAAATACGTGTCTGTTTTTCGATGTACTACATGTGTGCAAAGTTTCAAGAAAATCGGCGTGTGGCACTTGAGTAGTGTTACTTGTCATAGAAATTATTCCATAAAAAGTTAACAGTATCTGCCACGATGTTCATTTAGTAAAAAGAAGACCTAGAATTTCACATTATTAATTTCGAGTATAAGTAGTGGGAAAAATGTCGTTGAAGTGAAGTCAAACATAAACAAAGGCGGCCACACTTTTTGCGCGCGAGCGCACATATACCCGTCGCCGCATCCGGTTTCGATCACCCAGATCCCACGTGAAACCCTCGGCGGTGATGTTTCTCCGAAAAGACAGGTCTCGACACCGCGGCGAGATCGCGTTATGGTCGGCCGTCCGCACGCACCATGAGGGCGGAAATACGTGGGCGATCGGGCGCACGTATAATGGTTACACCGCATCGTCTCTCGTGTGCCCTCGCTAAACCCCGATGTTTATGCACTCCAACGTGGCGATGCGGCTCGATATAATGCACCCACATCGGACGCGCGCGAGGCGACACAGCCACTTGTCCACCTCGGTATTCGAATCTCGGTGGGAAAGCGATGCCGGGAGATAGTGCCGATGGCGTAATATCGACGTTTCGCAAAAGACCGCGTGACGCTTTTATTGGAAGTATGCGGGAAATTGCTCGCCGAAATTGGAGTTTCGCGCTGGAACACGTTAGACGCGTACTCTAATCGCCCGCGGAATTCTAAGCCCGTGTGGACGCGGTGCAACGTATAGAGAAATCCTAAACTCAATCTTGCGACTGTATGCGAAAAAAAAATAGTTGTGCCAACTCGAAAATATGGCATAGCTTTCCTTTCTAACTTCAAGATTCAATTTTTAGTTGCGCTGACCTGCGCTGATTTGTTGCTTCAAAAATGTAAATGATTGCGGCAGAAAATTTTTATAAAGTCAATAAAAAATTGGTCATAGCATCAATTTTTTATAACGAAAAGAATTTTTGTAAAAGAATTTTCGTATACGAAAAGAATTTTCCAGCGAAAATTAATATAAAATTCTGTAACTGATTATCCTTACATTTCATATTATTTCACTTTATTTCTGATTGATTCTGCTACATAGTTTGTTTTAATACGGTTCGAATGCTTTTTCAATGTATTTCACAACGTAATCAATGGTGTAATGAGAAAATATGTTTTTGATCAATTTTCAGAAATTTTGTCGTTGGAAATCATAACTGTTGAGACTAATTCCACAGTCAAGAATATATTCACAGGAATATATTCACTCAAATTTAAATTTGTACTTATATAAAGTCAGAATCCACTCTAGCTTGAGCGGAACATTTTCGCGTGGCAGTATTTTCACTATCTTGCTTCAAATGAAAATACTGTCACTTTTCACTCGTTTTGGGTGCGATTTCACTTCAAGAAATTTCAAGAGCACGTAAGCGTGTTGTTGTGTAAAGTGATCTGTCGTTATGAGAATTACTTTAAACATTACTTTAAACATTGAAGCTTGTAATATTCCGTTTAGCAAATGAAAGGTACGGCGCGCAGCTGATTCGATTTTGCACAGATGCACTTCGGACACAATGTCCCAGTCGATATTGGTTCAAGCGAGACGCGCCCTGCACGAATATTGACGTTTCTCCGCCGCGGGTGTTGCCGACATACTCCCCCAGTCTGAATTTCTGCCAGCTTTTGTCACAAAACCCAATACATTTTCCCCTTGTTTACCCCGACGTCGAGGGGGATAACTGCCAGTAACAGATTTCGCGGCGCGGCGGTCGTGATACCGTGACGGTGTGCGAATGGACTCGCGAAAGAGCGTTTGAGCCCTCGTCTCGGCTGCTTCCGGTATCCGGACATGTGTTGAAAACGCGTGATTAATATACCGTCGGTGAACCTCAAAATGGCCGGGGGACTCGGCGGAACGACGCAGTTAATTCCCTGACGGTGCAACTGATCGGTGTGCACGCAAAAACCAATGAATCGTTGCGTTTCACTATGTTGCAGAATCGCGGAGACTTCGCCTCACTGGTCCGCAGCTTGCTAGGGCCAATTTACGGCGAAGGCGTTATGAGCTTGCTGATAAGACAAGCCCGGGACATCCTGGTTTGCGCTTATCACGGCAATTTGGATAACTTCGTTCGGACTTATCTGTCACCTGCCGCTGCCTTGCTGACGGAAGTCAGGAGCGCTGCCCGCGAAATGGTAAGTCGCTTGAGATTATTCCATCGTATTATCCCGAGATGTTCGCGCTACCAGCTGGATGGGAAAAAGGGATAACCGCTTTCGTGGATAATTCCGCGAAGCGATTAAAGTAATCACGTACGTTGCTCTCCGTGTACGGTTAGATATCTCGGTTCCAGTTGGCGGCTATCATTGCGAAATTCTAAGCATTCTGCTTTTTAAAATACCACAGCAGTCAATTAAAATGCAGTGAGCGACACGTGTTATCTCGCTTGATTGCAACATTTTATCATTTACACGGGGAGAAATTTATAGCAAAAATTACTATAGCATTTCGTAATCGAGTAATAGATCAACATTCTACAGTATTCTTCTTTTTGACTGCGAGAAAAGATGTCTGAAAAGAACAAATATTTTTTCGGTGGGCATTAATTACATATTTACTTAAATCTAAATATTTTTATTTAAATAGAATAAAGAAGCTTTCTCTCTTTCTTATAAAAATTATATTTATATTAAAATATACATATATTTATAATAAAATACATTAAAATTATTTTTATATACATGTAATATAATATAATTTATGTATATATTTTTTTTCTCATTTGAAAGAAATTTCTTTTTAAAATGTATATACTAGTACAAGTAAATATATAGTAGTCATTGAAAGAACATTTATTATATTTTAGATATTTTTTCTCTCAGTGCATGTGCTACACTGAAAGAAATAATCCGATAAAAAATTAACAAATGGATATTTTCGATAAAAATACTGATGAATTAAATTTAGTCGGATATTTCTGATCATAATGGTATTTGATCAGATAAACCGGTGAGAAAATTATGAACCGATATTTCTCGTCGGATGTTTTCTGATCAGATACAAAAATTCATCGGTATTTTGATCGGAAATATCTATTTGTTAATTTTTTATTGCATAATTTCTCTTTCTCTCTCTCTCTCTCTCTCTCTCTCTCTCTCTCTCTCAATATACTTATATTTTATAATTTGATTAGAAACATATATACAAGAGGAAAAAACGATATCGCGCTAATACAAGATATTTTCTATCATCCAATGTTTTTAATCTTCTCAATGTTTTTAAAAATATTGGTCGCATCATTATTTGCAATCCCACTCGAGTACACTTGAAGAAGATTTCAGCGCGAATCGCTTGGTAGATTGCGCGCGCCACGCGCGGCGACAGAAAATTAGGTCTCTTTAAGGATCATCTGTGTGATCGACTCAACCCTTTCCGCGGAGTTTTAATTAAACGTACACGCCTCACCGGTTACAATAGCAGACTTGAGATATCGGTCGGGTGCATCCGCAAATGCTCTCTCGAGACACCCCCTGGCCGCTGCGACTAAATTAACCTCCAACGGGCCACGTGCTTCGGGCCGAGTGGCTCCTTTCGCTCTTTCGGTAGGGTGCTCGTGCCAGGGGTTGTGTAACCCGCGGCAAACCGCGAGAACAGATATTAACAACGAGGCGCGGTCGCTCCCACGTAATATCCCGCATTGAACTAGTTCACTGTTCGTCATCTTGGACATCGTTCGTGGTGGTTTAATTGAATACGTCGGCATTAACGCGGAATTGTCACTCAAAGTGTCTGGCCTCGTCCTGCTGCGGCGAGATAACGTCTCACGGACGGCGCCATGGCGATTTGCATGACAATACGGGCGCTGTAGCAGCCAGATTGATCCGGAATACAAACGCACGAATTTCCGTTGGCGACGTTCCTCTAAAGCCTACGCGCGAGAAAGACAGACAGACAGACAGACAGACAGACAGAGAGAGAGAGAGAGAGAGAGAGAGAGAGAGAGAGAGAGAGA